TAATGGAAGTGTCCGAAAAAAATATAAAAACTTAGGAAAAATATTTTAAAATCTTAATTTTCTCCAACTATGTCAATGAAAGAGAATTCCAATTAGTATACATATTTGAAGTCTCCTGTATTAATTCTTGATAATTAACTTTATACAAAACTTGTAGCTGAAGTGGGATTTTAACTCCTAAATAATTCCAAGGTTTAGACAGCCATTGGTAAGAAAATTGTGTTTTCACATAATATTCACTCTTTTTAGTGCTGTCCTCTCTTGGCACCATGAGGCAGATGTGCCTCTCACCATCCACCCAATCTATCAATCTCTGCTCTTTCCTATCCAAGATGTACTTCTCAAATAAAGAAAGAAGTATTTCTCTTCTAAACTTGCAGTGTGGCTCTGTGTAGCTTTGTAAGCTGAGTAACCTGGTAAAGTGACACTTCTGCATTTGTAGGTTTATTTAAGCACTCTGCTAACTAATGGTGACTGGACTAACCACGACAGTTAACCTCAACAGAAGAGTACCAGAGGGGGTGGTGGTGGGGTTCCCTCTCTTGCTCCCCTGCCAACCATGGCCCGATTCCAGTTCTGAAGCCGGCATGGCTGCAGAGATGACTGCTGCCAACTGAGCCTCCACTTTGCTCCAAAGAAGCTCATTCAGCTTCCCACCCTAGCGCACAGCTATGCTGGCCACATTGAGCCAACCATTCTGGAGTCACTGCTCCAGCCGCCTGCTCCAGATTTTGCAACTTGGCTACACTACAGCACTGCAGGAGGAAAAAGGGTGTTGCCTGGGAGCTGTGCTGGTCCGCTTCAGCAAGGGCAGTCTCTGGCACTGAGAGGACACCTGGCAAGGGGTGGCCGGGAGGCAGCCGGGGAAGCTTCAGGTATTTGTCAAGGCACCCACCTAGTTTCGATTAGGCAACTAGTAGCCTAATCGAAACTAGAAGGTTCAATTCCTTTCTTAAAGATGAGTTGAGTTTAGAACTTTGATTTACTCGCCTGAAAAACCAGCTGGACTAAAAGCCACCTCTGTTTTAACGTCTTTAGTTTTTCAGGATTGTGGATTTCAGCCGCCAGCACCCCCTGTTTAATTTCAGAGCACTGAGCTGATGAAGTCAGTAGCAGCCTTTAGTGTAGAGCAATCTTTTTGCAGGATTACTAAGAAGTAATTCCCAATGAGGTCAATGGGAATCATTCTCAAGTCATTATCCTATTCCAAATGGCCAGGATAGCCAGATCCAGTGATAACACCAAAAAATCCCCCCAAAACTACAGAACACAGCTCAAAAGTTCCAAATCTTCTCCAGCTCCAGAGGGCACAAGAGCCAAATGGAAGGGAAATATGCAGGATGATATATTACCTTTGGATAACCTGGGTACACTGGCACCAAGGCTTCCACAATATTTACTTGCCCTTGAAGATTGGATTCTTCCTCCTGGTTCAGGCTCCTATATGATGACTAATTATAGTAATCAGAAACAGGATGAGATGCGAACAGCTCCGTTGTGTGCAGGAATTGGGTGCCGCACAGAGAAGCTTATTGTCACACTTCCCACCCCAATATATATATACACACACAGACACACAGAAATGCACACAAACATACTAGTCTGGAGAAACGAAAAATTCAACCAGTCCTTCCTCTGCTTTGGAAAGATGAGTTAATTCAGCAGGGGTGAAGGGTGATGTAGCTGTAAATTGTATGTTGGAGTTATTCATACTTGCTATGTTTCAGGGACAAATAAAGTCATCTTCGACGTCTATCCTAAATGTTTCCATTTCAATAAAGTTCCACTGAATTGAATGATTCCTATGCTGCTACAAGAAAAGCCATGTCAAATGGAGATGATGTATGATTTTTAAGTTTCCCAATTACTGATTGTCTGATAGTTAAATATTAAATAAGAGATACATTTAGAACTTCAGAATTTAATGACATTCTTTTCGACAATTTAAGTGACTTACCTGAATTGTTAAGATGGGTAGCCATGTTAGTCTGCAGCAGTAGAAAAGAGTAAGAGCTCAGTAGCATCTTAAAGACTAACAATATTTGTGGTAGGGTATGAACTTTCGTGAGTCACTGCTCACTTCTTCAGATACTATCCAAGTATCTGAAAAAACGAGTGGTTACTTATGAAAGCTCATACCCTACCACAAATTTCTGTCAGTCTTTAAGGTGCTACTGGAGTCTTACTTTTCTACTGTTACTTGAATTGTGGCAGAGCCCATCAGCTCTGTGTGAGGGGGTTCTCCACTCTTTCTGTAAGTCTACGTTTTGTTTTTGTTGTTGTTGTTATTCCATTGCACAGTTGAGTCCAATCCTTCACAACCCCATGGACCACATCACACCTGGCCCTCCTGTCTTCCATCGTCCTCTGGAGTTTGCTAAATTTTATGCTTGTTGCATCAATAACACTGTCTAACCATCTCATCCTTTGCCATCCTCTTCTTCTTTTACCTTCAATCTTTCCCAGCATCAGGGTCTTCTCCAGTGAGTGCTTCCTTCTCATTTGCTGGCCAAGGTATTTGACCTTCAGCTTCAGTATCTGTCAAGGTTGGCTTCCTTAAGGATTGACTGATTTGATCTCCTTGCAGTCCAAGGGACTCTCAAAAGTCTTCTCCAGCATCATAATTCAAAACCATCTATTCTTCGGCGCTCGGCCTTCCTTATGGTCCAACTCTCGCAGCCATACATTATTACTGGGAATACCATTGCTTTGACTATATGGACAGGGTGATGGCAGGGTGATGTCTCTCTACAGCAGGGTTATGTCTCTAATTTTTATTATGCTGTCTAGGTTTGCCATAGCTTTCCTCCCAAGGAGCAGGTATCTTTTAATTTCATGGCTGTAGTCACTGTCTGCAGTGATCTTGGATCCCAGGAATGTGAAGTCCGTCACTACTTCCATGAGTTCCCCTTCTGTTTGCCAAGGAGTGATGGGGCCGGATGCCATGATCTTAGTTTTCTTGATGTTGAGTTTTGAGCCAACTTTTGTGCTCTCCTCTTTCAATCTGAGCAAGAGGCTCTTCAGGTCCTCTTCACTTTCTGCCATTAGAGTGGTATCGTCTGCATATCTGAGGTTGTTGATGTTTTTCCCAGCAATCTTAATTTCAGTTTGTGATTCATCCAGGCTGGCATTTTGCATGATGTAAAAAGGTAAAGGTTTCCCTTGCTCAAAAGCTAGTTGAATTTAACTCTAGGGGGCGGTGCTCATCTCCATTTCCAAGCCGAAGAGCCAGTGCTGTCCGAAGATGTTTCTGTGGGCATGTGGCCGGCATGACTAAACGCTGAGGCACATGGAATGCTGTTACCTTCTCACTGGAGTGGTACCTATTTATCTACATGCAATTTCTTGCTTTCGGACTGTTAGGTTGTCAGGAGCTGGAACCAGAGACGGGAGCTCACTCTGTCACATGGCACTAGCGTCTCAAACTGCCAAACTACCGACCTTCTGGTCTGCAGCTCAGCATCTTAACCTCTGAGCCACCATGGCTCCATCATTCGCATGATGTACTCTGCATTTAAATTAAATAAGCAGGGTGACGATATACATCCTTGCCGTCCACCTTTTCCTATGCTAAACTAATCAGTTCTTCCATGTCTGGTTCTAACTGTTGCTTCTTGACCCTTATACAGGTTTCTCAGGAGATATGTGAGGTGGTTTGGTACTCCCATCTCTTTAAGGACTTGCCACAGTTTGTTGTGATCCACACAATCAAAGGCTTTAGCCAATGAAGCAGAAGTAGATGTCTTTCTGTTTAGTTTATTGTAAAAGGAAGTTCCTTAATTTTGGGAGGTCAGCATAATTCTCTCGCCCACACAATCAGAACAGAGAGAACATTTTTAAAAATCCGCTGTGCAGTCTAGTTTATGGAAAGGTACTTTTAATATCAGAAGAAAACAAACTGGAGTGGCAAGCTAGCATCTGGCAGCATATTTCAGAAGTGAGTCAGTGGCTCACATCCGAAGCACTGGTGACTGGAGTGGCTCACGAAGTTGAATTTTTGCTCACAGCACCCCACAGATTAGAGGGAACATTGGACACTACTGGACCTATTCCCCATGAATGTGTCCAATCTCCTTTCCACGCTAGGCTATCAGCCATCACTCTGTCATGCAGTAACGAATCCCTCAAGTTAATTACTTGATGACTTATCTGCAGGCCTGACAAACCCCCTCTTCCTGTACTTGACATTTTACTCTGCAAAGCCAGTTGACACATCCAACCAAACACATGGCAGGGATATTCCAGCCTACTCTAATTCTCCACTTAGAGTTGAAAGAAAGAGAACCATCTCCAGGAAGTAAGAAGCAAGGCATTCTGTGTACCATAATGTGGCTCACAGAAGTGCAGTTACTGTGGTTGCCATGAAAGTGATGCATTGCACCATTGGATCATGGTAAGTTTCTCTCTGTCTCTCTCTCTCTTTTTCATTAAATTTTTATTTTTACAAAAAAAATCACGTCACATATATTAAAACTATAAATGAAGCATATAAGGCCATGAGGTTAAGATGAATAAGACCTGATTGACCATCAAAACAAGTTTCTCTGAGCAAGCCAGACTATCTCAACCCCCCACCCCATATATGTTGGAGACTTCACATAATCTTCCTTGTTTCTTGTAGTGTTTATCAGTAAATATCAACAGGAATGTCATACAGCAGTTGCTGGACTGCTGTGTGGACTGATGCATGAAGGGCACTAGCCGTGTACTGTGCCTTCTGTATTTGTTCCTGAGCTCACAGACCCTATCCATGCAATTAGGAAAGCATATTCGTGTCCTATGCCTTCTCAACAGCACTCTGTGTGATGGTCATTTTCATGTCATTTTTTCCCTCCAGGAATGGAAGGCCAGCTTTATTTCTCATTTGTTCAGAACATGCTGTGATCATTACCAAAACAGGTGAGTCTTGGCCTGCTGATCTAGAGAGTGAGTTGCCCTGGACAATTTAGCCCTCTGACATCCTTGGTAAAAGTAACACCACACTCTCTTCACATACTCACTGTGATTTGGCACCATACGCAATGTAGTCCAGTAATGCCCTGATAACACTTGATGCTTTTATGACACCGGTCACACTTGGCTGGGGAGTTTCCTTCAATCCATGTGTGCTGCATTACCTAGAAAGGCCAAGATGATGAGAAAGAAATCCACTTGCTAAATGGTGCACAGAAAGCAGAAAGGAGCAAAGAAATCATCCTGAAGGTTCAGTGAAATTTGCATTCATTCCAGCGTCTCATGAAATTCTTGGAAATGTGGGAGAAACAGAAGACTGGACATATTTGGGACAGTGCCTCCTGATGTGATATTCATTATATACAAACAGGTTCCATTTCTCTGCTACGATTTGAACCCTCCAACCAGATTTGCACTGCTGTCAGGCAAATGAATACTGGTGCAGAGGTTCTACATATATAGACATAACACCATGATGAATTATTCCCACGGTGCTCATTCTTGAAGTCGCTGGCAACATTTGGGGACCCAAAATGTAAATGATTGCCTCTGCACTGTGTCTCCCTGACTCCCAATTCTGTCCCCAACAACGTCCCTTCTAAGCTGTGGAGTCTTGTGAGCAAAAATTCTACTCTGTGAGCTACTGGCATTAAAGTTGTGAGTGAGTGATTTGGCTACCGCATAAATTAGTTTGCTCTGGAGCCATCCTTCCTGAGCGAAGACGAAAATCTGCGAGCCGGAGGCTAAAAAACTGTGAGCTAGCTCACACGAACTCAGCTTAGAGGGAATACTGATCTCCAATTATATTCCTGTTTGTTTTGATCAGTTAGCTCTTTCAGTGCAGCTTTTAGTATTGGCTGCTGCTTTGGCCAATTGATTTTGACGCATCTTTGATCATCTGGCTAAATTTGTGACAGAAGCATCACCTTATCTAAGGCAGATCAAGATGGGTAGCCGTGTTAGTCTGTCTGTTGCAGTAGAAAAGAGCTAGAATCCAGTAGCACCTTAAAGACTAACAAAATATGTTGTACGGTATGAGCAGTGACTCATGAAAGGTCATACCCTGCCACATATTTTGTTAGTTTTTAAGGTGTTACTGGATTCTTGCTCTTTTCTACTTGCTGCCAATGGCCATGGTGGGAATGACAAATACTTTCACACTGAGTTTGAGGAGCCCAGAATGAAAGAACCTCCTGACAGAAATGGGCCCAATGATCCTTTGCTGCAGAAATGGTGCTGTTGGGCACCTCCTTGCAGAACCTCCTCTGTATCTGTTCTTACGCTGGCACTTTGTCAACTCAACTACAAGTGCAACAAGCTGATGAAATGGTTAGGTACAAAATGCCGGTACTTTTTTGGCACTATTGTAGTACTACTCTGGCTGTGCAGACAGCACGTTCCACTTTACAGATGGCTTAGAGCAGAGAGAGGATTATCAACATGTAAACACAAACATGCCTCACTTACATTGGTATTTCTCTTGGATTTCACATAGGTGCTGATACAGGGGGCAATCTCTTTGGATACGCATCTTTCATGGACTGTGTATTTACAAACTGCAGAGAAAAGGAAGAGAGAGAGAAACAGCAGCTTTAAATCCACCCTGAACCTATAAACACAAAAGCTACAGCCATTCGGCAGGATTGGCTGTAAAACCTATAATAGAAATTATATTTCCCAAGGCAGTAATTGATTATCTTAATCCTTAGGTTAATTATGTGGGCAATGTCCAGTCAACGGGTTCATAACTGAGCTAAGCCATAGACTTACTAAGTGCCTCTAAGTCATGCCTCCCAACCTGACTTTATCATTTGTAAAATCATTATTGAAATTTGGGTGCCACAGGGAGCAATCCTAAGCAGTGCAACTTCCGGTTTTGGCCTCTGCTATGGCGGCAGCATTCTCCTGGAGGTCCGGGAGACGCACGCCAACACCTGCAGCTAGGAGGGGGTACGACTGTCCGCACCTCCCCCGGAGCCCTTGCGATGGGCTCCCAGCCATGGGGTGCTAGAAGACCTCTTCCTCCGGTGACTGGCCAGCGAAGGGGGGCTTTTCCATGCCCCGAAGGTGCTGCCACAGAGCATCCGTGAATGGAACTAAGAACGCACACCGGGACAAGCGTTTGGTGGCCGAACGAACTTGGGACTAAAAGCGGCTGTACCATTGAAATGTGAGTCAAAGCCTAAGTGAAAACCCCTGAAAACTAGCCAAAAGCCTCCCCTTTAGAAGAGGAGGGGGGAGGGAACTCTCCCCCGGGAAGAAAATAAACAAACTTTGCATAGCAGACGAAAGGGGGGTGGGCTATTAAAACAAGGTGGACTGAAATAAAAAGCATATAAGAATTTACGAGACGTTTCCAGGGTTTCCGGAGACTTTGAGAACTTTCATAAAAAGTAAACAATCTCAAACATGGTGCCTCCAAAGAAGGAGGAAAAGGACAAGATACCAAAACCGAAGCCTCTTGCAGGAAGTGCCAGCCCAGTGAGTTCTGTCCCAAGATGCTGACTGAGGCGTTGTGCCCTCTGCTGGAACAAGTTCCGGCTTTGCACCAAAAGTTCAACGCACAACAAAACCAACTTAATGAGACTGTGAAAAAAATGGAGAAAATGGAGCAAGAGCTCAAAGAAGTGGATGCCAACACTAAGAAGCTTAAAAAAACAACTGCAGGTGATAGAAAAAAAGAGACTAGCTGATGAGTCTCATTTGTTACAGCTACAAATGAAAAGGGCAAGCCATGTCCTAAGATTTCAAGGAGTTCCTCAGGAGAAGGGAGAAGATCTAAAGCAGATCATGTGTGACGCTATAGCCCCGATAGCAGATATTAAAGCAGATATATTACAAAGCGAAATAGATACAATCTTCAGGTCACATTCTGAATATATAAGGAAGAATAATATGCCCGGGGAAGTGATAGTGAGATTCTCCAAAAGACCAGTGAGAGATCAAATCCTCAAAGCCACAAATGGAGCTACCTTGAAGATCAAGGACAAAGAAATTAAAAAATTAAGAAAGAAAAGAAAAACATTTAGAGACTTGGTTTTATTTCTTCAGAAAAACAACATCCTCTACAGATGGAATGTGCCCGAAGAAATAACCTTCAAATTTAAAGACAAGAAATAAAAAATTGACTCTGTTGAAAAGGCATTGGAGTTTTTTGCAGCAACATAATAGTCCAGCAGGTGAAGAAGACAAAGAGAAAGATGACAGCACCAAGGGGAGTGAATATGAGGGAGAACTGGCATCTTCTGACTAGGACTCAGATTCAAAACTTGGGGCGGCAGCCCCAAAGACAAGTTATCAGTTGAGAAAGAAAAAGGATAGATAAAGAGTTGTCATTGTTTCTCGGACCCTTAATAAGGACTTCAACCATTACTTACATTGCTTTTTATGAGGTCAGATGCGTAGGTGTTATCTTTTGTTATAAGTTTAAATAGAATGTTTGATGACCACATCCAATGAACTTTAACTAAAACTGTAAGCTAAAAGCTAATTTTACAAGCATTTTGTATGACCACCATCTCTTGGGTTTTTAGCGGTTTTCTTTTACTTTACTGTCTCCCATAGTGTGTAGATCCCCTCCCTTATTTCGTTGTAGTTTATAGAAAATGCAATAAAAAAATCCCCTACGGGGGCATAAAAAAAGAAAAGAAAGCAGTCCCATTTTATTAATTGGGGGGCTTATTGCCAGGGAAATACACTTAAGGATTACACTGTTAATCACATTGAAAAGTCTGAAATGGGCTACATATTAGGACAGCATATGACCTGCAAGAACGGAACCAGAACCAGAACAGATAAACTCTCAGAAGGAACAAGAATATTGTTACTTTTACAATATTGAAGTAAGAAATGAATTCAGATCCTGGGGGAAATGGTATCACAATGATCTCAGTACCAAAATGATCATGTAAGGCAGTAAAAAATTGATACAGGACCAAAAATGGAATTTTCTAATCTGGAATTGAATGACACAAAAAGATTTTTTGTGGGGCTACTGTTGGGATTCTTTTTGAGTAAGTCAGCAGAGTATTAAGAGACTGAGTCCATATTAAAATATAAAAGTTTACTATAAACCTAACATGGGAAAAAGGTACACAGGATATAAAATAACAAAGAGCTAATATGGCTACATCCTTACAGCTAAAAGGTAAAATGGGAATGACCGGTGTCTCCTTCCTTAGTCAGAACAAAGAGAGGAAGAAGATGCCAATATGCTAAATACTTGACACATTGGTTTCCAATCAGACTAGCAAGTTAGCTCCAAAGTTCCCGGGCATTCTATTGTCTAAACAGATTGGTTACAAACAAATATGTGACTTCCTGTTGATCATAACAAACATCATTAACCCTGTAAATACTGAAGTGTTTTGACTTGTAACACCCAACAGCCACAGATGTTTGCATGACTCAAGTAGGCTTTGTGTCCAGAAGCAATTGCGTATATTGGAGATAGTAATATTGCCAATATGTACCTTCCAGTTTAGGTCCTAAGAGTACAAGTAAAATCGCCTTATCAGGGCCAATGTAACACTGTAACAGGGGCTTTGTTGTATGTTGTATTCCGTACTATTTGACCTCTGAAGAAGGCTCTTGTGGGCCAAAACCCATCAGGTCATATATGGTTCTTTTTGTGCATTTGTCCCTTTGATTACTTTATGAGGCTTTATTTGGGCCCCTACAAAGTTTTTATATGTTTTTGAAATCATCATCCATATACTAATAGCCAAGTTGCCCCCTCCGTGCGGATACTTAAATCAGCACGGAGGGGGCAGCTGGAGGGCCGGGGAAGGTTTGTGCACACGTGGGCCAGTCCCCACGTGTGCACAAAAATTTAAAAAGTAAAAAAAAAATTCGGGGGGATGTTAAAATCCCCCCGAAAGTGCAAGAGCGTCTCCTGCGCGTGCGCAGGAGACGTTCTGCTAACGCTGCCGCCGGGTCATGAGCCAATATATTAAAAAAATAAAAAAAAAATTGGGGGGGATGTAAAAACCCCCCCGAAAGTGCAAGAGCGTCTCCTGCGCGTGCGCAGGAGACG